GTGTTAGCCAGGATGGTCTCAATCTCCTGACCTCGTGATCCGCCCACCTCAGCCTCCCAAAGTGCTGGGATTACAGGTGTGAGCCACCGCGCCCCGCCTATTATTACTTTTTTTAACTCCTAGGGCCGGATGGTGGTGCCAAGGTTGTCTGGCTATTTATCTTACTTTTGTTTCTTTCTAACTGTTTGCTTTGTCTCTCTCCTCCTGTCTTGTGAACTAGGCAAGGTGGGGGGAGGAGGGCAGCAGGAGGAGTAGTGGGCTCCTTCCTTAGCCAGAGGATCGCCCCAGGAGTTCATTGCAGGCTGCAGTGAGCTGCGATTGCCCCACTGCGCTCCAGCCTGGGCAACAGTGTGAGACCCTGTCTCCAAAAAAAAATAGAAGACAGTTTTGACAGGCACACACTTCAGCTGGAATTTCACCCCGCGTCTGCTTTTCCTTGGGTTTTTTCCATTCTTGATTTTTCCATTTATGGTGATTTTATCTACAACGTCTTTTCTAAATAAATGCATCGAGGCAGTGAGGAAGGGGGAAGGGGGAAAGTGAGCCGATTCCGTTTTTTCAAAGAAAAATCCAGCAGACGGGACTGTTACCAGGCGGGATGCGGGAGACGCTTTTCTTTATTGGCCAGAGCACGGAGAGGGGTGGGGATTTGTCCACAGTCACACAGCCAGGCGCGGCAGAGCCGGGAGGGTCCTCGCCCCCACTCCGCATTCGGGGGCCCTGGGATCAGGCAGGGGGCCGCTGGGGGCTCCTCAAGATGCTGCCACAGGAGGGGAGGCGGTTCCCGGGCAAGTAAAACCCACAGACCCCACTTTCACCTTCTCCAGGGACAGCTGCCACCACGTTCTGTGCCCTCCCTACGGTGGGCCAGCTCTGCCCCTCTGCCCATCTCACAGGGCTCCTCACTGCCCCTACCCCAGCCTGGCCTCTGAGGCTGTCAGCCCTGGTGCTATTGACTTTCAGATCCCACCTCCTGGTCTCCGTCCGGGCTGTTCCCTCCGCCCGGGATGCTGTTCCCGGTTACATCCTGTCCTCTGAGGGCAGGCAGGGGAGGGGGCGGCCGCAGTTGGTGGGGAAGTGTTGCCGAAATGCCCCCGCCCCACCCCGGGCTGCGGTCTGACGGTTGGCCGGACGTTTTCCTGTCAGCTGCCGGCACTAGGTCAGACCCCTCCTGCGAGGCCAGGGGCTGTGGCCATTGGGAGTTCGTCCCCCAGGACCCCTCCTCCCCCAGAGGGCACGCCAGTCTTGAAGGTAGGGGGCTCCTGGAGCGGGGAGCTGGACAGGCGCGGTCACTTTTTCAGGTTGGGATCTGGGCGGGGGTGGGTTGGGGCCTGGCTGCCGACAGCAACCGCACAGCTGAGCCCCCAGGGAGGAGGCCTGAGCGTGGATCCCTGGGTCCCTGGACACTGTCTCCCCCACAATGACCCCCAAAGACCTGTTCTAGGCTGAACATTCTGTCCCCATCCCAAATGTGCAGTGGGGGTTCCTTCCCACTGCCTGGAAGATTGATGGATGACACACCTGCCTCATGATTGAGGAAGTAGGCCCAGAGAGGGCAGGAAACCCACTCGGGATCACACAGCAGGGTCAAAACTGGACAAGGGAGTGGAGTGTGGGTGCCCCTGTTCTCACCAAGGGCCCTGGAGCAGGGGGCCTCAACGGTCTCCCACGCTGCAGCACTCACGGACCCCTCCCATGTCGCCCTGTGCGTGCGCCACCCCACCACGCCCCGTCTGACCTTCCCCCAGCAACATGAGCAGCCCGGAGACTCCCACAGAGTCCCCCGAGTCCGACGACCCCACCTGGTCGACTCAGCCCACGTATAGCAACCTCGGTGAGCAGCTCCCCGGGGAGCCCTGGGCCGGGGGCGTGCAGGGAGTGGCAGGGGGTGGAGGACACCGTGGCCTCAGGAAGGCCCGGAGTGGGCGAGGGCTGAAAAATAACCTGTGGGTTGGTGGGCGGGGTGTGTTGGCTCACGCCTGTAATCCCAACACCTTGGGAGGCCGAGGCAGGTGGATCCCTTGAGTCCAGGAGACCAGCCTGGGCAACATAATGAGACCCCCCCCATCTCTACAAAAAAAAAAAATAATAATATGGACACGGTGTCAAGCACCCGCAGTCCCAGCTACTGGGGAGGCTGAGGCAGGAGGATCCCTTGAGCCCAGGAGGTCAAGGCTGCAGTGAGCCATGAAATAGAAAAAAATATATACCATTAAAAAGAGAGAGGGGCTGGGCACGGTAACTCATGCCTGTAATCCCACCCTTTAATCCCAGCACTTTGGGAGATCAAGGAGGAGGATCACTTGAGGCCAGGAGTTCAAGACCAGCCTGGCCAACATGGCAAAACCAGTCTCTGCTAAAAATACAAAAATTAGTGGCCAGGCGCGGTGGCTCAAGCCTGTAATCCCAGCACTTTGGGAGGC